CGAGAAGAGGGGAAGGGGGGAGGGAGAGAGAGAGAGAGAGGAGAGGAGAGGAGGGAAGGGGGAGGAGGGAAAGAGAGAGGGTGGGTGGGTGGGTGGAGGGGGAGAGAGAGAGTGTGACAGCGTTCCCCTCACAGGAACGATTCTGCTGGAATTGGGTCAGCCCTGATCCCCAAAGCAGAGGAGACAGAGAATATAACCCAGAGTGCCTGAAGCCTGGGAAGGGTCTTCTCACTCGGCTCACCATACCTCAAGCGAGGCTGCAGAGGAGGCTGCCGGTGGCCCTGCTGCAGTGCCAGAAGCTGATGGGGAAGAGAGGTGGTCTTGGGGTTTTTACCCTAGGAAGGAGAGAAACGAATCACAGCAGAATCATAGGCACTCCCTGCCTCCTCCAAGAGAATATTTTTCTGTTAATTTAGCTGCTGAGATAAGCCGACCTAAAACTCAAACCCGCAGAATAGAATGCTCATAGTGTGCCAGGGCTGGAGGTTACCTAATCCCACCCCCTCATTTTACAGATGAGGAAACTGAGACCAAGAGGGGTCCCAAAGAGCAGCAGGGCAGGGCCTTCCACCCAGGGAGGTCTCCTGCCTCCTTCCTTCCACTCTACCCCTTTTCACAAAGATGAAGCTCACTTGTGTTCCAAAACCACACTTATTTTAATCATTCTCTCTGAGAGAATGAACTGGACACATACAGCTGGAATAACTATCATGCAGAAACCCGTTTTCACTTTAGGCTTAGGGGAGGCTCACTCCCTGTTCCCCTCTTCCTACTTCCAGTGTCTGAAACAGCATCAGGGGAAAAAAGTCCTAGTATTATTGTAAAAAACACACAGGGAAGAAACTTTTAGAATATTTTATTTTGAATTTGAAGAGAAACAAAAATCACAATTTCCTACCCTTTATTGTGAAGTAGTCACTGATAACACACCGTGTCCAGGCGGAGTCAATGACCGGCCAGCACCATTGTGCCTTGGTATACACGGGGCTCTTCTCGCAGAAAAATGTGTTTCCACACTTTTTCTTGGATCATCTTGCGGCTGCCCCATCATCCTTACTCATTCAGCTGGCAAAGCAGAGCAGATCCCTTGGCTATCCAGTAATCATTTGATTTCTGGGATGGCAAGAGGATTGTTACCACAAAATTGGTTGAATGGCCTAGTTAAAGAAATGAGAAGACATCTGTTAAAGAAATTCCTCCATAGTGGGAAGATTAAGTGCAAAATCTGAAACGCTTCTTCTCTGTGTGACTTTGGACAAGTCACCATACTTCTGTGGGTCTCAATTTCTCCATCCTTAAAAAGAGGCCTCTGAGGTTCCCTCCCTCGGTCTCAGTTTCCTCATCTGTAAAGTGAGTAGATTGGACCAGATGGCTTCTCAGGTTCTCAGCTCTGACATTTTATGATTCTAAGTATTCCTCAGACCCAGGGTTCAGGCAGAGGTTTTTGCTGAGTCTGGGGTACTCGGCAAAGTCGTCCAGCTTTGGGGTTGAGCACAGACCACAGGCCGGTGGAGTAAGAAGAAATCATAGCAGGCTGGGGAAGTCAGGGAAAGTCTGGTGGAGGAGGTGGGCCTTGAAGGACAGGTCAGGTTCATAGATCAAGTCACTGGGACATCCATGCTGTTCCAATCCTCGTTTTATAGTTGAGGAAAGGAAGACAAACAGAAGAGAAGCCCGGGGTCACATAGCGAGGCAGTGTCTGAGGCTGGATTTGAAGTCAGGCCTTCTTGAGTCTAGGCCCACTGTTCTATCCACTTGGACGTCTGGCTGCTCCCAAGCACATAGGAGACTATGCTCTTGGACCAAGCGTGGCAGTGGATATTTCCATCTCGGGCCCCTCAGCCCAGTAGCTCTTATCCATGGGTCTCACCCTAGCATGCCAACTCTTTGGGGAGATATTTGAGCTTCATCTATCAGTAAGCCTCTCCTCAATCAATCAACATTTATTGCTGCTGAGACATTTTTCAGTTGTGTCCAACTCTTTATGACCTCGTTTGGGTTTGTCTTGGCAAAGATACTGGAGTGGTTTGCCATTTCCTTCTGCAGCTCATTTTACAGACCAGCAACTGAGGCAAACAGGGTTAAGTGATTTGTCTAGGGTCACCCAGCTAGTAAATGTCTGAGGCCTCATTTGAACTCTCAAAGAGGAGTCTTCCTGACTCCAGGCCTGAAACTTTATCTACTGTGCCACCTAGCTGCCCATTTAGTAAGTATTTAATAAATTAAACTTTTATTATGCACCTACTATGTTCCAGGTATTGTGTTGAAGTGCTGGAGATACAAAAAGAGGCAAAAGACAGAAGACACTTGCAAACAATTATATCCAAAAAGCTCTATGTGCCTTCTCCTGTCTGCTGACCTGAATTTATGCGGCCTCTCCTGTGACTATTATACTCTTTGGAATTCATGGTAAAAGCTCCAAGGACCCAGTGGCTTCTGGACAGACATGTGACCATAAAGAGAGAGAAAACATTTCATTTTCTGGGTAGGCCCAAGCTCAAAAGCGGTTTTTTTTTTAAAGTGTTGGTGAGGTGAAAGCTTCTCTTTCTCCATCTCTTCCTGGGAGCAAAGCCTGAATGATGAAAGAGGAAGCTGGCCCTTTCCCCTGCAGACTTTCCGCTCACTCATTCTCTGGTCTGACAGACCTTGTGAAGTCATACATGCCAGCAGGCCCTGCCTGAGCCCTGCAGGAAAGAAGAATGATGGTCTAAAGAAGGGTGACTGTCAAGAAAGAAAGACCCCTGTTTTCCTTGTTTCACCATGATTCAATTCAATTCAATTCAGTGGGGAGAGTGCTGGAGAGACCTGAATCCAGATTCTGCCTCAGTCACATCCTTAGGTGTGTGACTGTGGGAAAGTCACTTTCTCTTTTTTAGACTCAGTTTCCTCATCTGTAAATGGAGATAATAATAACACCAACTTCCCAAGGTTGTTATGGAGATCGAATGAGATATTTGTAAAGCATTTTGCAAACTATAAGGCACTGTACAAATGCCAGCTGGTATTAATGTCAATATCAATAATATCAATAAATGTTTGCTGGATTTTTTTTGAGGGGGGGTTGTGGAAGGATGGCCTATATATATCTATATCTATCTATCTATCTATCTATCTATCTATCTATCTATCTATCTA